TTATAGTGTTCACTCTTGTATGGAAGTTTATTTTTAATATTAAATTTAATACAAAGGCTATCTTTCTGACCTCAAGGTGGGGAGAGATTTCTAAAGGAAAATTTTTTCTTTATGGATTTTTAATAGGGTCTATATTTTCTTTTAAAAATAATTCAATAGCAAAAATGGACAAGGAATACCAGCAGTCTATGCACAGAATACGATAAAGTCCAATAAACACTTAAAGATATACTGTCTCACTAGGAATCAGGGCAATGCAAATGAAAACAATACATTGCTTCTTCAAGTTTAGACATTGCCAAATACCATGTGGAAGTTCCTATTTCTCCGTATCTTCACCACGTCTCAGCAGACTGTTAACATTTCACAACTATCAGGTTGACAAGTTGTTTTCCACACAGGACAGTTGCCATGCATAACCCTCCAGCAGCACTCAGCCTGGGATCCGCTTTGTTAGATGCCACTAATGGTCGGTCCACCGATCTGCACACAGAGGCGGTGGGACTGTATAGCCCCTTGCGGAGGTTGTGTGACCACTTCTGGGACGGTGGGTCGCGAGTGGAAGTTCTGTGTGTTGTTTCCCGCCTGTGCAAGATCCTCTCCTCTTGCTGTCACACCGAGGAAGGAGCCCAAGTTGTTCAGATGGTGCAGCTACAAGATGGGACCCCCTCCATCAGACAGGTCCCTGGCACCGTGGGTGCAGTGTCAATGAGAAATAAACACTTGTTCGGTTGACTAGGATTGCAAAATAAATGTTAAATGACACATGTGCAACCATTTTTGTAAAGTACAGGTCTAGAAATAGAACTGCAGGGCATTGATGCGGAATCTGGCACACAATTGGCATTTCCTAAATGTGAGTTAGTGAAACCTCGCCTGGCCTACCCTAGTTTTAGAGATACGTAGATAAATAAAATCCACTTCTTCCTATCAAGGAACTCAGACAAGCAAGCTAATACATAAAACACTATGTTTTTACCTTGCCTTAGGCAGTTCAGTGTGGTAAACACTAGATACACGTGGGTAATGAACATCTGAAGTGTGGCTGGGGTTCCTGAAAAACTGAATTTCTCATTTAAATTGAAAAACGGAAGCAGTTAAAATCTTGCCACTCAACACAGCTTAAGTGTTTTGGTAAGACTGTATCTCATTATAAATGAAAATTTAGCATTAAAATTTAAACCTTTAAGTTGAAAATACATACCAGGTTTCTAAAGATTTTGTTTTAAACAGTGTATATATATACTTTGTATGTGTGTGTGTTTATATACACAAAATATCTCAAGCAATTTTATGTTTATTGAAAATGTTTTGGTATTTTAGATGTATTGGGGCAAATAAAACATTTAACTTCACCTGCTTTTTCCTCTCCTAAATGTGGCTACTAGAGAGTTCAGATTACATATGGGGCCCGCTTTATATTCCTATTGGACAGCACTGCTCTAGACGAAGTGCACATTCCTCAGAATGCTATTTCATCCCATCCTAAGGTGTCTGATCCCTGCTAGAACCTTAAGAAGTCAATTCATACTGAGCGTAACCTGTGGCGGCAAAAGGCTCTACATGTTGCAAAGAGCCTTACAGATGCCAGGGAGTTTCCTGCCAAAACACCAGCTTGCGCGTTACTTCGCTCATCTTCATGTAAACGTTCATCTTTCTTGAATTGACGTTTTCTTCACAACAAAATGTGGCTTAGCAACTGCCACTCCCTCACTTTCTGGCCTGGACGTCAGCTTCTTCCCAGGCCCCTACTCTGTTCACACCGCAGCTACCCCTGGTCGTCCACATGCAATTCAACCCCCCCTGAGGCTTCCACTGCCTTATTTGATTTCCATTCCCCCCTAAATAACCAAAGGCGACAACGTATTAGACTAGATCTATGGGATGGAGGATGACAACTCCTCTCAGCTAACAAATGAGAACAGCAAATTGCTGATTTTAAGTCACGTTTTCTTCAGGGTCTGCCAAAACTCAAGTCCATTTCTCCTTTTCCCTTTTTGACCCCTTGGGATGAGATGAGGGAACCAAGCCCCCACCGAATACCCTCGTCCTCTTCCCTCCCGGGTATGCGTGGAGCCAGAGCTGAGGATGTCTGCACGGACGGCGTCACAGTGTAGCTGCCCACGTGGTCCAGCAGGCTCGTCAACCGCTCGGCAACTCTCCCTCCCCAGCCCTCTCCTGCTGAAAGGCCAGACACCGAGGGCAGGTGCAGTGGCCACATACCATCTCTGATGAGGCCACAGAACATGGGATGAAAACTGTTACTGCTGCCCAAACCAGCACCTCTTGTGAATTTAAGGCAAAGCAAAACAAAAAAGGAACCTGGTGTCATTTCAGGGTATGCACGGTTAACCAGCAGTGCATCGACTCCAAAATATGCCCTGCTGGAACTCAAGGCACCTGTGCTGTACGGAAGGACGCCATTCCATGTTTCAGAGACGTACCCCGCAAGAGAGGCTATGTAATAAATAGCCCCCTGACACTGAAATGAAAGGGCAGAGAACATTTTACAGTTGCTTTATTTAACAAAATTTACGCCAACTTCTCTATCTATGTACAAACGTGTTTCAAAACCAGAGCAGCAAACACACCGTTAACACAGGACTTACAATAATGCTTAAAACGCGTTATGCAATGTTTTGTTTTCTGCTCATAGAGACATTTACAGATTCAAAAATTATTCCAAAGGCCGAGCAATATTACATCTTTGTTTCCTGGGATGATTTACTTAGTAGGTTGTGAAGAAAGGGGGATGGAGCTCTTGAGGATTAATATACTGTGTTCAGTTTAGTTTAACAAACAGCATTTGGCCCATGGTAGGGCTCACAAAATGTTTTGGGCAGGGGACAAAAATTTGGGTAAAATATGATCTATGAGACTATGAGCCATTTTTTAAAAATTTTCACTGTCATAACTATAACAAGATGGTCTCATTTCTGACCCCCAAAAGTAAGAAACTCTTAAGAAATGTTTAAAATTTTATTAGTAAGTACTATTAATAAAAAATTTAGTGAGTACAGGTCCTTCAAAATCAAGATGGGGTATGTAAGTACTCAACACAATTCTACCCCTACCTTGTCCAATTTTGTTAGAAATGTTTCAGGACACTTACCTACATGTTAACAAGCTATTTCCTAAAGTTCTTCATATAGGGAGGACAGACATATTTTGCTTTCTCATTTTTTATGAGTTTTCAGGAGCCTTCTTAATGCCTCAAAAAAGTACTGTAGCTCTGGAAATCCCCCAAAAACTTACATAGTCTACTTATAAAATTGAGCTCCATATGAGTTACATAAGCGGACTTTCAGGTAATACTTGAAAAGCGGCTGATGCTGCAAAGTATATTTCATGTTGACACTTACTTAACACTCTGACCTGATTCATGGTCATCTTTCCTGAAAGGTCATGCTCTAGCCTCTCGAGAAAGATGCTACCAAGCAGTGAGGTATAGAAAGAGGAAGAAAAAAAAATCACAGCCTTTCCTTCTCAGTGTCTTGGGAGCCTTCCCTCATGCCGGCAGGATACACATCTACACGCGGCTCACACTTCAGGGCACTCTCCTCTATGTGGTGAAGTGGTACACAGGATCCATTTTCCAAAAAGCACCAACTAGAAATGCACAGGGATGAAATACTGCAACGAAATGATCCTCAGGAGTTTCTACTCGTTTGTTCATATAAATCAGACTCATCACTTACTTGTGCTTTCATTTTCTAAAAATGAGATCACACCATTATAAAAATGTGCTTCCAAAATAATTTCTAGAATATAAAATGTCTTATATTTTTCCAGCCCACATAATTTCATTATAAAATAGAAAATCAGAAAATTAGCTAGTGCAGTTTTCGTATGGTAAAAAATATTTATATGTGTACACACACGCATATATACACATATAAAAAAACCCAAGTTTTAAATTTCAATAAAAATTAACCAATTAGCCAACTTAATGATTATGTATTCAATTAGACATAAGAAATGTTGATTATCTGTAATGAGAACCAACTACAAAGAATTACAATCCCACCTATCAGAAGATAGTCTTTCACACGTGTAAAAAAAAAAAATCAGAAAAGTTCCAACTAACCAACAAAATGGAAATCTCACTCAAATCTTTTTCAGATAATAATGGCCCCCAGTTTCATTCACTGCACTATTGAATTCCCTAAGGAAGGAGCAGTCTTAAAGTGAGGACAACAGAGCTGGGGCCGCCCTGTGGGTGTGTTCAACGTGGTGGTCACTTCCTGGTGGAGTGGGTGAGCAAGGACGAAATCCAGCCTGAGCTCCCTCAGCCAGGCCACCGACCTGCCCAAGGGGTGGTGGAGGTGCAGAGGGAGTGTTTCCTAATGCACACAAAGGTGCTGTGTGGACCAGCCATGGTCCTGGCATCTGCTGGTGGAGAGGGAAGCAGGTGTTCTCGAGAGTTACTACCTAGGAAAGGTGAGCGAGAGGGAGAACAAGACTGTGGAGAAGATAAATTAGAAGCAGACTGTGACTACCGGTGAAAACTAGGAATAGTGTTTCTATAACCTCCGCAAAGATGGTGGGATGTTTTTCTATTTTGTGGATTCCTGCCTGTTTTTTTGTATTTTCATGAGGGAAAGCCTTAAGGGGCCTCAAAGGCACAAAAGGAAGGGGACAGGAGGTGAGCAGGGAAGCGTGTCACTCCGCAGGAGAGCTGGTTCGGATAACTGCCAGAGGGACAGCAGGCTATAGGCTGGGGGGCAGTGTCCGAAATCCTAAGTGGTGGAGAGAGTGAGCTCAGCCTTCACCCCCAGTCTGTGCCTGAGTTCTCAAATGAAAACTAATGGTTACATTAAAGTAGTAAGTCTCTTCACAATCCTACCTTGAACTGTCTTCCCCAGTTTTATCTATGTTGTAAGAAGCCTGTTCATTCACATTTTAAATTGGTTACTTTATGTTTGTGAGGGTGGTACAGGCAAACAGGAGCCTTACTTTTAGATATTTTCCCTCTGTGACCATGCCTCCGTTTTTTTTTTTTTTTTAAAGGCACATTTCCTCCCCAACTGTCATAAATCAGGACATTCAAATAGAAAGCAAAGGTTTAAAAATGTTTCTTTCCTCCCCTAACATCTACGGCTCAGGCAAACCCTTGGAATCATTCTTAAAGTGGCCAACAAAACCACAATGCTCTGTGCTAAAGACAACAATTCTGAGTACTGCCGAGTGGGTGAGGAATTTCAAAGAATAGCCACTTTTCTATAACCAAATTTAAGATAACAAAGTAGAAAGTATAATTTCCATTATGTACCAAATATGCAGCACGAGTTAATGCAGAAAAAAACGGATGTGCACACCAAGATAGGGTTTGATTCCTCAGTAGCATTTTGTATGCAATGTGTAAAACACTCTAAACTTGCCCCTCTGAATAGATCACAGAAAATTTGTACCTACTCAGAAAAAAGGGGTGCTAAACAAAGAAAAGTCTCAGATCCCATTGGAAATCTGGAAGTTTCACTTCTCTCCAGAAAAATGTGTGTATAGATTTGTGCATACTATTTCAGGGGCTTCAAATACCTTCCAAGGTCCGGTCTCTTATCTCAGGTTAAGACTCCTGGCTCTCAACATTCCTACAAGGTTTCTGAAGAATGAGCGGTCCTCCCATTCCTACAATCTGTATTTCTCCTACTGAGTCAGGGCGGGGGGGGGGGGGGGGGGGACAAACAAACTAGAATAAACTAAAAGTAAGAAAAACAATTTGCTTCAAAGACCGTTTTTTACTTATTTGCCCTTGGAAGAAAGAACATCCCAATCTCTGGTTGCCTCTATCAAATGCCGTTGGCCATGACTCATCCACTCCTCCTGGTCTTCATACAGCCGCCCACAAAACCAGCACTTAAATAGACACTGTGATGAGTCATCAGGTAAGGAATCCACCACCTGGTAGTTGTTTTTATGCACTTTTTTAAGTTTCATTTTCAACATCATCTGCCTTTTTATCTGATTGGCCTCCTCCACGTTCCGGTAGGTCAGGCGAACGTGATGCCGTCTGATGCCTAACTGGCACCTAGTCCTCTCCGATAAGACGACTTTGAGGACATTGCCTTTGTACTTGTTGATTACCTTCATCACATTGGAGACTTCTGGAGAGTCAACATCAGGATGGTTTAACACAATGACGGGCTGGTTCCGACGGGGGCACTTAATCAACTGGTCTGGTTTAGCGGCGATCAGTCGAAGCTGTCTTGCAACCTGAAAAATTGAAGGATCCTTGAGATAGTGGCTGGGATCAGCCTGGATTTTGCTTTTCTTCTTGGATGAGTTCACTTGTTTGGTTTTATTTTTACTTATGGGAAGACTTCTGGAAAGCAGTTTGCCTTGCTTACTCAGTTCACTGCTTCCTTGCTGCCCGTGCCAGGGGCTAGTTTTTTTAGGCATGGTGCCACAAATAGCACTCTCTTTTCTTGGTTTTGGCCGAAGAGGTATATCAAGATTTTGGGACATGTTTATTGGCCCGCTTTCAGTTGTCAAAGACTGTAAGTCTGAGTCTGTCTGTCTCACTGGGCAGAACGGAATGGGTTTTATTAACTGGGTCTCACTGCAAGGTATGCTGACGGGTGCTTCACATGTTGCCTCTATAATGTGGGCGTCTTCAGAAGAATTAAGAACCCTCAACACAGCTCCTTTGGGGATCAACACTGGAGTAGCAACATGGGCGTTCTTAGTTACTCTGCTTTCAGTTTTCCCACTGCTGCCTTCTATAAACTGTGGATAGATTTGCTGTTGGGTGAGCGGCCCATTAAGACCACCATCATCCTGAGGTTTTGGGAGCGTGCCTGTGGAATAGCCAGGGCCAGTAAATGACACGTTAATTTCGTGAATACCTTCAGGAGCAGCTTTCGAAGTTCCCTTTGATGCCTGCCCTACAGAACGGCGATGTGCGTTATTTGCAGACAAAGATGATGGCTTGCCACAGGATTCAATTAACTGAGCTATCTTTCTGCGCAAGAGTTCAATTGACTTTATTTTGGACGTTGAGCTATTCCACTTAACACCCTCAGGGACGTTTTCAGACCCAGAGCTCAGAGAAAATACTGATGAAATGACTGGACCATCGAAAGAGTCCTTAGTCCTTTCAGGATTCTTTAATTCCAAAGGCTCCTCCCTGGGTGGCTGAGACCTGATTCTATCTTCTCCTGATATATTTATGTGCAAGTACTCGCTTTTAGGTTGAGAGGAAATCTGGCCTGTATTTGAAACTGCTTTGGGTTCCTCCATCTGCTTGTCTTTCGACTTCCTATGAGAGGGAACCATTTTTACAGGAATACTGATCTCCTTTCTGGATTCCAAGCTATTGGGACTTAGAGGCAACAAGCGCTTTTCTCCAGAGAAGGACATGGTTGCAGGTGACACAGCCCGGGGAAGTAACTGCTGCAAGTCGCTGTGCGGGTTCCTTCCATCTTCAGCCAAAGAAACAGCAGCTTTATAAGGGAAAGGGTTGGACGCAGTGCCAAGACTGTGGAAAACACTGTTTTTTGCTACAGATGCTGGAGAATGACCTTTCAAGGAGAGAGAAGGAAGAGCCGGTCTATGTGGATACATACTACTTTTTTTCTGGAAATCCTCAACTGTGTCCAGGTTGAGGAGGGATTCTCCACGGTTGTGCGCACTAGAATTTGACATGAAAAAATCATAAGACCTGACCCACTTCACATTTTTAAGTTGTTTCTGAACTGACGACTGAAGATTATCAATGCCTGTCAGTTTCCCAACATGCCCTTCCATCGCCAGGGACTTCGTTTGGCTTGCAGAAACCATTTTTCCTGGTCTGGCCGAACCCTTCTCTTTAGTCATATGCTCAGAATCACCCCCTTCACCCCCAGCAGCTTCAGGGCGGTTACTTTCTTCCAGAGGAAACAGTTTCAGGACAAGCTGCTGGGTCCCGTTGACGATCTTCACATCCATCAACTGGGCTAAGCAGTTGGCAGGGACGACGAGTTCTGCTGGTGCCACCACTGTTAACGGCATTCCCGGCTGCACCGGCTCTTTTGCCGGGGACAACACTTCTACCTCCACGCTTTGGTTCTCAAACACACTGCCCTCGTTGGGCTCCGAAAGGGTCACTTTATTCGGAATACACACTACATCTTTTTGGTACTCCTTTGATTCAGGCAACAACATAATATTGTGCATTTTGTCTTTATTTGTATGGAGGGAGAACCTTGAGAGTTGATCGGACAACTTATTTGGAAATGCAGTCCTTGGATTGGGAGGTTTTAAGAGCTCTGTGTTTTGTTTCGATGTGTTGGTTCTTTTTGGCTCCAGCTTGGCAACAGTTTTGGGTGGCCGCCTTCCCCCGACCCGCTCGTGTACTCTCCGCCTGTGTTTGACAATGTAGTCATTCCTAATAGCACCATAGTCACAGTACTCACATTGGTATGGGAATATGCCTGTGTGTTTCACCAGATGCCTCTGGAACTCCCCTTTTGTGTAGGAAATGTAGCTGCAGTGAGAACAGATGAATTTAATCTCTTCATGTTGAAGAGTGTGTTTTTTGTACTGCAGAGGGTCCTTTGTGGAAAACCGACATTTATCACAATAGTATTTGCCTGGCTTAAAGTTCCTTACCTTAAATTTATTAACGGAACCAGCGATGGCTTCGGCTTTATTTCCTATAGGAGTAGCACTGGGGTTACTGTTCACAAAATGAAAATGGGGAGTAGCCACACCGAGGCTGCATTTGAAGCAAACATATTTGTCTTCCTTCTGGCTTGGCCCAGTACCCTTTTTCAAATCTTGAAGCGGGATTTTGTGAACACTTTTGCACTTTGCACACGTAGCAATGGTCATCATGGCAGCCTCGGCCTCTGAGCCTTGACACAAAAGAGCTTGCGCTTCTTGTCTATCTGGTCGAGTCACTCTATTAGCATTCGGTTGTTTGGGTGACATGGTCAAGGAATTATGTCCGTTATTCCCTTGCGTGGTATATAACTGCTGTCCAATATCCTTCATCTTCTTTATTTGCATTTCTAAAAAGAGAAAGCCAGAAAATCCAGGAAGACTTCACATGATAAAATCCTTAGGGGCCATCCTTCATTTAACTTCATAACTGGTGGAGAACCAGTGACTTCCTGGGGGGCATAGTCAGTTATCCTTGTTTATAAACCACCACAGTAGGTGGACGATCCCAAAATAGGATCGTTCCCAATTCTCTGATATTCTGGGCAACACTAAAGGGGGAAAAAAAAAGACATCATAAAGCATGGTTAATATGTGAACCTAAGGTTTAATCTATGTCCAAACTTCTCCTATATTTCAATGACCTTTGAATTTTATGTGAAATCTTGACATATTTTCTTAAACACAAATTGCCAGTAAAATGTAATACAACAGAAATGGCAAATAAGAAGCCTAAATAGAAGACATTTTTAAATTCAGCACCCTAAAACTCATCACTTTAGACCAACCATAAACCAGCTGTCATTCAGAACAGCCCTTGATACGTGAGTTATTTTTAGGTGTCACAGAGAGCATCCCAGCAACTTCACAGGTATAATTTCATATTAGCCTAAATAAAACTTCATACCGGAGGATGCTATTTCAGTTTTTTTTTTTTTAAAGATTTTATTTATTTATTTGA